AATTCCTCAGCCCGGCTCACTGGCTGGGGAATTCTGGGAGTTGAAGTCCACGCCTCTTAAAGTGTCCCTCAGGTGATTCGCCTGGCTGGGAGTGAGCAGGATTTGAGAGTGTAAACTAACTGGAAGATCATCTAGTCCAGCCTCGTACAGACATTCACTCCTGCGGCAGAGGCACAGCGCCTCCCGAGTCAGTCTGTGTTCCGTTGCTGAACAGCTGTTCCTGCTGGGACATTTTTCCTGTCCTTCAACTGAAATCTGCTTCCCTGCAAGTTAAGCTCCTGAACAGGTTGAAAGACTGCTCTTGTGTCTGCCTGCAGGATCACCTCCAGGCGAAATATCCCAGCACCTCCAACCCTGCCACCTTAGTTTTTCCTTCCAGGCTGCTCCCCTCTGGATACTCTCTGCTTTGTCAGGGCCATTAGTAAAATGCAGGGCCCAGAATGGGGCACAACATACTAAGTGCAGTCTGACCAAGGCAAAAGAGAGAGGAACTAGAACTCTCTAAATTTCTGCCAATGCAGTTTAGGATTGCAGTTGCCTTTTTTGAAGCTAGAGCACATTATTGGCTCACGTTCAGCTTGTGATCCATGAAAACACAGAGAGTCCATTCTATTCTGCTCTGGTCAAATAAGATTTGAAGTACTGAGTCCAGTTCCAGACACCCATTTCAGAAGGACAGTGACAGGAACAAATTCCGAAGAATGCTGTGAAGCCCTACAAGGAATCGTTGAAGGTCCTGAGTGTTTAGCCTGCCAAATAATTGACCAAGGGGAGATGTGATAGAGAGCTGTGTTCAGAGAGCTGAAGGGTTGTTATCCAGAGGAGGGAATGGTTATTCTCTATTGCCCCAGAGGGTAGGACCAGGACCAAAGGGTTGAAAGTACAAAGAAGGAGGTTCAGGTTAGACATGAGGAATTTCCCGACTGTATGAGCTGACAGCCAGTGGATCGGGCTATGTCAGCTCTTTGAGATAGGCCAGACTTGGAAACCAAAGTTATGAACACTAAAACTACTCTTATTATAGGGTTACAGTAACAGAATCGTGCAAGTCTGAAAGCACCTCCCCCTCCCTGTTCTTTATCTACTAGAGAACCAGGGAGGGTCAAGTCTAAGACATTTTCTCAAATTTCATTTCTGCTTTGGACTCAGATTTCTCTTATCTGACCGCTGCCTTGGTTGCAGCTCTTCCTCCTGTTCCTTAAGGTTATTCTCACAGCCCATTACAGGCCGCTATGTGAAGTCTCCTTTCTCGGAAATCTTCAGAGGTTGGATGGTCACCCGACCTCTAAAGTACCTTTTGATTCCCTGTTACTCTTAATAAATCCATTCTGGCTCCTGACAAGAAATGCATTGTTCTCTGTATCCTCACAAATTGACTGCTTATAACCTGTTTCAGAATTTTGCTTGGTAACATCTGTAGCTACTCAGATCCTTTTTTTTCCTTTCCCTTTTTGAAAATAAGAGAATATTTGCCTTCTTCAATCCTCTGGCACTACAGCAGTCTTCCATGACTTCTCAAAGATGACAGAAAAGGCGCTGAGATGATATCCATAATGTCTTTCAAATCTTTTGGATGTAATTGCTTTGGAGGCTTAAACTAGATTACGGTAGCCATCTCTACTTTCCTTGGGTTGCTACTGCTTTGTACAGTATGTTGTTCTGTTGAAGTCCTGCAATTCTCCTTTGGGAGAAGGTTGAAGCAAAGTAAGAGCGAGATCCCCTCATCATCTTCCCTTAACAATGGACCTCCCCCATCCTTTCTCTTCCTTTTACTACTGGCATAACTCCACAATGCTTTTTTGTTGCTTTTAGCGATGATGATGATTTATGATGATTTAATAAATGGCTGCCACTCCAGAAGACTCTGGATGGCTTACAATATCCAAAAAATAATAAAAAACAGTTAAAAACTGTTTACCAGCCTCCGGCTGCTGCTGCTTAATGCCAGGTCAGTTAAAAACAAGGCCCCCTCATATGCAACTTGATCACTGAGGAGGGGGCAGACCTGGCATGTATCACCGAGACCTGGCTGGGACCCGAGGTGGGGGTGCCCCTCTCGGAAATGTGGCCAGATGGGTTTACGGTGTGGCACCAGCCAAGATGCCAGGGCAGGGGAGGAGGGGTGGCTGTTGTCATCCAAAAGTCTCTGGTGGCCTTCAGGGGCATTGCTCCACAAGTTTCTGGCTGTGAGACACTGTTTCTTAGGTTGGGTTCCCACGAACAG